ATGTTTGTGTATTCAAATTATGACTATGTTTTGTTTGTTAGTTCGGACTTTCGTGAATAAATTTTATTACACAATATTCCATTTGATGATTGATAATTTGAAGTTGAATTTGCTGAATGTTTTATGTTGTTTTTTAGGCATATACTGCTAACTTATGAATATTGTGATAAATTTTAATTCGCATTTATCATTTGAAAATTTAAGTAATAGAATCAAACCTTAACCAAATTAGAACCGAATGATTTGGTTCCATATCTTACAAAAAATAAAAAATAAAATCATAAGTTCATGGTTCGATTCGATTATTTTGAAATCAAGGTTAAATAGAACCAAGTTCACCCCTACGATCTTGAACTTATTAGAACTAGTCAAGATGTTCATTAATTTGACCACAACTAAGAACATAGCCCTTTTTTCACTCTGTCGGCGTATGATCTTCTTCAAATTCCCCTATCAACATTGTTGTACCTATTCAATTGGTTCAGCGTGTTCGTTGATAGTTGGATGGATGGCATAAATTTTGTGATAATTTTGAGTTGGAAAGCATTACCAAACATACGTAGCTACGTGTGCAACTTCTTTACCCTATTTCTCTTGACTGGCTTAGCTTTGCGATGTGAGAAAAATTAAATTCAAAGTTTACTTAAAACTAGGAAATTGAAATTATTCAAATATGTATAAAATGAGATTTTATTTAAAAGTAACTTTTACATTTAACCTTAGTCCGTCTCATTTTTCAAATGAATCTCTTTAATGAGTTCGTTTAGTGTTATCCAAGACGAGCCACCCTCCTTCATCGAGTTCCTTGCTGTCTCCGCCACCTCCTTCACCTTCTTCCTGACCTCGTCCCCTTTTTCTCCCTCCATAAGTTCTTTCATCTGATTCTTTAAGCTCTCCGCCTGGACAAATTTGTTACTGGACCCATTTACTGTTTCCACCCTTAACCCGATTTTAATTTCTTCCACTACCATTTTTGCATTCAGCAGTTGCTCTGCCATCATTGGCCATGCCAGTATCGGAACTCCTGCGCATATGCTCTCCAATACGGAGTTCCAGCCGCAGTGACTTAGAAATCCCTGAACGATTTCGTGTTCAAGAATCTGTTTCTGATCAACCCATTCTTTTACTACCATTCCTCTCTCCTTTATCCTGTCTTCAAATTCATCGTCTATACCTATTCCACTCTTTCTCACCACCCACAAGAAGCTCAGATTCGATTCTTCAAGGCCACGAGCAATTTCGGTTAACTGTGTTGCTGATATTTCTGCTTGGGACCCGAAAGCAACGTAGAGAACTGGATTTCCCTGTTCCAGTTTTTGGTCTAGCCATTGAATCCATCTACGTTCCTGGACAGGCTCCATTTTTGGTAGCCGGGTCAAGCACAAGGGTCCAACACAGAATGCTTTGGGTTTAGACACGCGGTTACAGTACTCTACATACAGTGGCTCGAGCTCGTAGAAACTGTTCACCAGCAGGCCGTAGCTATTGGACATGGCTATAATCGTCTCGATTATGAAGTCGAATAGAGGACCTGAAGGCTCCCGTTTATTAAACGGGTCGTCAAAGTCATTCCTGGTGAGCTTGATCCATGGAAAGCTGGTGAGATTAAAGCGTTCGTCAGCGGACTCGTGTAATGACAGTAGCCCATTGACAGCCGCATCTCGGCTGAGTGCATTGGCGTAGTTGCTCATACCAAAGAATCCCAGCCGCGGAATGCCTAACTTAGTGGCAGATTCCACCGTCCAATGGAGGAACTGATCCGATACGATACAGGTGACATGAGGAAGTGTTTGCAGAGTCTTTTCAAAGTGGGGTTGCATGAGTTTTGTGGCTCTGGCAAAAGGTAAGAACAAAGACATGGACGGGAGTTTGTCGGTGCTCTCAATTCCCGTTGGTATTCCGGGTATGTCTGCGGGAAATGGAAGGTCGATGATGGTAATATCATCGCCGGAGAGAGAATGAACGATGTACGGACGATTTGCCGGGGTGGTGAAGAGAGTTACCTCGCAGCCACGGTCGAGGAGGAGGCGAGCTAGGTGGAGAAGGGGGATAGTGTGGCCTTTGGACATGAAAGGAAACAGAACCACATGTGGTTTGGAATTGTCAGAAGAAAGAAGAGACATGTTCTTGCCTTCGTTTGGCGGAAATGAGAAATCTCAATAAGCTTATATATAATCAACTACCCTTTTAAATTAATGGGGACTCCAACGGGTCAACTACACTTTCACATTAATGGAGACCCCTACGAGGTGTGGTTTTTCTTTTTCATTGGTTGGGTACAGGTAATTTTTGTTTGCTCAAGGAACACAAGTGTCAATAAAGTTCTCGTTTAATTTTCAAAAATTGACAAAAATTTTAAGTTAAAATTTATAATTAATTTTAATCGGATATATAATTTTGTCCCAAGAACATATAATTAGGTTCTAGAATAGCTTGTCACAAGAAAGACATAATTGACACAAAAGTAAATGGACGTTGGTTTGCCAATAATTTATTGAAAATGAAACAGATTTGGTCAAAAATGTTTTATAATTGTATTGAAGTATGAGCATGTTCTAGATAGATGCTTAAAAATAAACAAAAAACAAAAAAAAATTGTAAATAATACTGAAAGTTACGTTAATGGAATTGACTATTCAATTATTGATTTAGTCATAGTAATATAGGTTAGTTCAGTCAATACCACAGGTTGAAAACTATACACGTGTCTTTTAGCGAGTACAATTCCTAGCCCCGATTTGAAAATTTAGGTGAATTTTAGGGAAAATTGCAACAGTGGTCCCTAACTTTTCACTTTATTGTAAATTTTATTCTAATCTTCACTTTGTCTCATCCACAGTCCTAGTCATTTCAAAAATATGTACTAAACACACAACAATACTATTTGATCTGTTGACAGCAATTCCAATAGCTCTCCTGGATTTTGTACTCGTACACCAACTCTCAGCTGCAGTTTCCAAAGTTCTCCTGGATTGCGCTCCTGTAGCAACTCCCAACTTTGTGAAATCGTCTATCTCCTGTGAATTCACGAAAAACACCGCGTTCTTCAACGACTGGAACTCCAGTCATCTTCCTTTGATTTTCAAAAACTCTAACAGATATGAAGGAAGCAACAGTTTGGTATTTGGATTATGAAATTGATGTTTTTCTCACCGCAAGAACAGATCACTATGTGAATAACTAAGGTTAAAGAGTAATTGATGAAGATGATATGACAAGCTAAGTGTTTGCTAACCTTCAAAAAATCGTTCTGTGGTGTTTGGTATTTATAGGTTAGGTTAAGGAATGAATAAGTTAGATAAAAAGCCTTTAAAAAACAAATTAAAAAATTTCCAGATAACACTATCGCTCAAGCGAGGAATGAGCGACAGTCGAGAGACAGGTTGTCGCTCAAGCGAAGGCAAGGCGACAGGCGGGCGACGCAGTTTCTGTTTCTGACACTTGAGCCAAACCTGGGCGATAAGCTAGCGATATTCCGACATCGTTTTTCCTTCTTTTCTATTCTTGAACCCTAGACCTAATATAACACAACTTTCTACTATTTGCACATTACTCATTGACTTTTACAACATATCAATTTAAGTTTCTTTTGGTCACAGACTTGCCAATTACGTTAAATACCTAACAAGCTCCCCCTTTAACATTTTGTGACAAAACTGTAATCTAAAGTCAAGGCAGTAGTAAAAAATACATACTCAAAAATTGACACAACAAAAGAACTATCTTGATTAAACTTTGCTTTTCATATATCAAAACATGTTTCCTGAAATAGACAACTCAAGTACCTTGTGTAAAATGTATGTGAAACAGTTAAGTATAAATGCAATTTAAGTAGTTAAATCGAACAGTTCACAGTATAAAATTGATTTAAGCAGTTAATGCATCTTTTCAGTTTCATATCATAAGTTAAATTAGGATATAATATCAATGCAACCCAACATACCAAAACAAAACATTGATACTAAAAAAAATCAAAACTTAATTTAGTAATACTGAAAATTATCATTTAATCATTTAATCAAAATTTTGGATACATCACGTCAAGTAGTTAAAACCATATACATCCTCAAAAATACTATTCTATCAAAAACCATATACAACTAACTACTCCCCATTTTTGTTACTAAATGACAAAGCAGGATCATCAGTATATGTCCCCTCATCCAATGCTGCACCGGCATCACAATGGCGACGAATCCATTGCAGCCCTCACTGAATATACCCAACAACATCCCGAAGCGTAGTAAACTCGGTAGTGCGATGATCAACTGTAGCTCGCAGCTGCGTAAGCTCTACATCATCCAAATCTGCTGTTCGATCAGTACGGTCATTTGTCCCATAAGAGCAACTGGCGGATCAACGAGAACAGAGGGGATATCAACAGGTGGAGGAATAGGCTCAGCGGGAGGAGGAGTAGAAGTAGATGAAGATGGAATATCAGAGGATGGAGGAGCAGATGAAAGAGTAGGGAAATTCGAGGCTGATCAAAAGATATAAGGTCATCTATATGATCAGCCAGCATAGTCGAGTCAACAGGCTGTGTTGGTTCAGAAGAAGCATGTGACCTACTCTGGGCAATAGTGGTATGGCCAATTGGCCGGGAAATCCGCTTCGGAACCCTCTCCGAAAGACTCACTCCTAGGGTCGTCACTAACCTATATATCAAGCAAGCATGAGGCAGCCCCACTCTCGTCCCCGTGACTCGAAAAGCGAGCAAAATCTGCTGACAAATGAACGAGAGTAAATAAATGGAATCGCCATACAACAAGGCGTACAAAAAAATGAGCATTCTCCATGGGTAATGAAGAAGTATGAGACACAGGCCAAAGATTCATGCACACAATGCGCAACAGAATCTGACAATCAGTAGGAAGAGAGCCACTGCGGATCACACCAGGACCTCTCTCCAACGGTGTGTTAAATATCGTCGAACGGACTAGAGAGTTCGCCGGAAGAGTATCAGGCGTCAAATATGGAAATAAGGGGTGGACGACTCTAAGGATATGAGCTATGCTAGACACAACATCAGGAGTGATATTAATCGTCTTACCCCTTAAGAAAGACTCTAAAAGACAAAACGCTAACTTCATGAATGTTAGTAAAGCACTCGTGAATAAGAAGTCTAGGCGGAGGGATCAGCTCAACCAACAATGGTTCCCACCCTCGAGATGTGAAAATAGTAGCGAGGTCGGGAGATAGATCAGATATAATAACATCGCGCTCAAACAAAATGGGTCATAATGAAAATTGCAATCCAAAAGTATCTTGGACAATTACAGATTTAAACCTAGTCTTACTATAGGAAGAGGAGGTGCCAGGTGTCGAAGCAATAGCAGCGTGAGCCCTCTTAGGTAGCATCTGAAATGGGTAAAACCAATATATCAACGCCACGATTGAACACAAGATATGCATGAGATGCATGAAAGCACGTAAACCAAGGAAAACGTTCATATGCAACACACGTGGATGTATGCACATAATGATGTCGTAGTGCCTGGACGTAGATGACGTGAAGACATGATGCGTGTCGTGACGACATACCGCGGTGAAGTGACGTCACCTAGAGGTATCAACTCCAACCTCAATGTACACGACATCAACACTTCGAACTCAACACAATTTCAACCAAAACCCCTCAATCAGCACACCACAAACTCAAAAAAAAAAACAAAAAACTATACCCAACATGGAAAGAAGGCACACAACATCCCCACAACCAGAAAACTCCAATCATCAACTCCCAATCAAGCACCAAATACCGTCCCAAAGCCACCAAGTGGAATCTAAAATGAGACAAATGCAAAAACAATGGAGAACAAATAGAAAATTC